GTTTAAAAAAGAAACCTAACCCATTATAGAAAAACAAACTATATGGTGAAGAGATGGGGGAATCGGTAGAAAACAACATGAAAAAGAAAAAAGAGGGGAGGAAACAGGGTATGGGGAGAGGAAGGCAAAGAAAAAACTCTATAAAGTAAAAATAAAGCAAAATACCTAAATATTATCTGTCTGTCTATCCATCTGATTAAATTTTATATTTTATTTCCAAGATCCTAAGAAGTAATTATTTGGCAAAATGCCACTGTATTTCAAAGCAATTTGGCCAAAAGCATTATATTCAACATTAGATATTACTATAAAATTGTTGCTGCTGATCCAGTTCTACAGAGGAATTATTGAGTCTGTCATCTGCACCTCTATTACTGTTTGGTTTGGTTCTGCAACCCAACAGGACAGACACAGACTTCAGAGAGTAATTAGGACTGCAGAGAAAACAATTACTACCAACCTGCCTTCCATCGAGGATATACTGCAATGTATTAAGGTATACTGCACTGAGTGAAAAAGAGGGCTGTGAAAATACATTTACAGACCCCTCACATCCCGGACATAAACTGTTTCAACTCCTATCCTCAAAACGACGCTATAGAGCACTGCACACCAGAACAACTAGACACAAGGACAGTTTTTCCCCCGAATGCCACCACTCTGCTAAACAATATATTTCCCTCAACACTGTCAAACTGGCTAAGTCTGCATTACTATTACTATTAACCCTCCCATCCTTCCTTTCACCCATCTCCTCCCACTTATGATTGTATGACTGTAACTTTTGTTGCTTGTATCCTAACAATTTTTATTGACTATTTCCTAGTATGATTTGATTGCTTATTGTACCCTATGATTATTATTAAAGTGTTGTACTGTTGGAAGAAATATCCTTCTGGGTTCAGTTCCAAGTGGGGAAAAAGACACTGGAAACATCGGGGCTGTTTGGAAGGTTTAATGGTAGATAGGAGGACCACATGGCCTGGAGCTCTAGAGTGAAAAGGAAGGATGATCACATGCTTCAAGGTGAAGGGAGAGATCAAGAAAAAAAGCTGATATGCCTGGGTTTTATAACCTTTGTTGGGATTTGAATTGAAGCTTGTTTCTAATTGGTTGTCAGACTCTCATGGGGCCATGCAGGGGCAACTCTGTAGGCTGTCCTGAGTTCCAGGCTTGGTTGAGCCTTGCTAGATGATGATGCACTGAAAGGGCTTTGGGCAATTGCTATAGTTTTACCTGGAGATCTTTCTTATCTAAAGTATTCTGGCCCAGGACTTAATGGCCCAACCATTAACAAAGGTGGGGGTGAGCTTCTGAGGTGAGTTTCTGCTTCTGAGTTTCTACTCTTTTTAGGGGAAATATTCTGCCTTTTTAATATTTCCTAGGATATTTCAATTTTCTAGGAGACAAGTGGGTGCTAACTTCCTACAGTACCTATGAATCTTGACGAATGTATCTTATCTTTTTATGTACATAAGCACCAAGACAAATTCCTTGTGTGTCCAATCACACTTGGCCAATAAAGAATTCTATTCTATTCTATTCTATTCTATTCTAATCTAATCTAATCTAATCTATTCTACTCTATAAAATTGTTTCTTCTCAGCTCATCAGATGAACTCATGTGGAATCATGATTTCCTGTAGCACAGCCTACCCTGTAGAATAACATCCCTCTGGAAATCTGGGAATCAGCACACTTCCTGTTAGCCTTTGGTTAAGGCCCTTAAGATCAGGCTGTTCCCCCAGGCACTTGGGCCAGAAACTGATATGAGCTCTGCTGCTTAATGCTAGTTTTTATAAACTGGGATTACTGTTCTGACCTTGACTGTTGTGGATTGGATTGTTAAAGTGTTGTTTTAACAATGAAAACCACCCAGAGTCACTGCTGTCAGATGTATTGTTAGATCGATGATTGGTTGGTTAGTTGACGGATTGATCTAACTAACCAACTTTATGGCTCTAGTATATTGTTTGGGGTATTCCCATACTTATTTCAAGATGCAGAGATGGCATTTATTATGTAAGTGACACAATGAAGCTTTCAGGAAAGTACAGTGGCAGAGCAATCAAAAGGAAATAATTTGCATTGGAGGGGATCTATGAGTAATAGTGGCACAGAACTAACTACTCTCAGTGCAAAACAAACAGGGCTTGGTTCACACATTAAACTCAAACTCATACTTTAGAATTTGGCAATACAGTTGAACAGCTCATGACTTGTTTCTCAAACTTCCTCAGTCCTACGTGAACATCAACTAAACAAATTCATTTCTCTTCAACTTAAGTTTTCACTTTCACTGGCAATGATAATAAAACCAGAAGGCTTTTTAATCTGATCCTCAGGGAGAAAAGAAGATTTTGGCAGTTACCCATTTCTTCCATCAAATATGTTTTTTCTATATATTCAGTTATATGTGTGAGAGGTTGTCCATGTATGTGTGTACAGCTGTGTGTGGGAGAAATATGTGTATTTTATTTTATTAAGAAAATTTACATAGCACCCAACTCTCCTCCTGGAAAGCTTACATTTAAAAAAAAAAATCTACTGCTTAATAAAATCCATAATAAAACTCTTACCCCACTGCCCATGATAGCAACAGCACAATCAACAATCAGGTGAACAACTCCATTTCCATTCCAGCTTGAACTAGCCAGTCCTTAACAATTTGAGGCCATCATTTTAGAATAGGAATTGACTTTTCCCAAGCTGGAATTTCAGATCATGCCGTTTGTTTGATTTTGGTTTAAATGAGATAGGCACCAGCGACATGGCAGTGGGAGCAGTGATACTCCAAAGAAATAGCCAAGGAAAATTACAGCCCTGCACCTACACCTCCCGCAAACTCACAGACACAGAGAGGAAATGGGTCACATGGGAAAAAGAGGCTTTGGGGCATTGCTAACCTGGCGCCACCTACTGGAAGAGGGGAGAAACCATTTGAAATCTGGACAGACCACAAAAATCTATTTTAAAAAGCTATTATAGTATATGGATTGACGTGATGTGTGAATCCAGCTGGTCTACACTTATTTATTTTGACTTTTGGCAACAGGCAACAGCAGATTTGGTCATTTTTCTATGATTCTCTGGCACAAGTTTTTCAATGGCTTTTTTCTGTCCGAAACTTTTTATAAATATTGGCCATTTTGTGTATCCATTAAACAACTTTGTATTCAGTCCCTAGATATTGCAACCTGTTAATAAATTCAATTTCACTCTCAAAGATGCACAACCTGCTTTTTGATCCATTCTTCAGGACACTAGAATTTGGTCAACGAAGGATGGTTAAAAGAATAAATAGCTTAACTTAGCTAGTATAAATCTGGGCAATATGCTGACAAAAAGATATCAAGCTATAGAGCTTGATATCTTTTTGTTCATTGTGTAGCAATCATATTTTAAATAGATAATTTGGGGGTGTCTTATTATATTATCATACAGGTAGCCCTCAACTTACAACAGTTCACTGAGTGAGCATTCAAAGTTACACGTCACTGAAAAAAAGTGGCTTATGACCATTTTTCACACTTAGGATTGCAGCATCCCCATGGCCATGTGATCAAAATTCAGATGGTTGGCAATTGGTTCATATTTATGATAGTTACAGTGTCCTGGGATCATGTGATCTGCTTTTGCAACCTTCTGACAAGCAAAGTCAATGGGGAAGCCAGATTCACTTTAAAAACTATGTAACCAACTGCAGTGATCCACTTAACGTCTGTTGAAAGAAAGGTTGTAAAACTCACTTAACAAATGTTTCACTTAGGAACATAAATGTTGGTCGCAGCTCAACTGTGGTCGTAGCTCAAGAACTACCTGTACCTTTACAGATTTACAGATAATCAGAGTTGGAAGGGACCTTGTAAGTCATCTAGTCCAATCCCCCGCCCAAGCTTTCTTTCACAGCATAATTTTTTTCGTAATTTATGCTGGTTTCACTATTTGAGTAACTTGTTTTTCAAACTCTTTCTTCTAAAAATTAGTCTTTTGCAAATCTTGTGTTTTAGACTTTTAAACAGCTTGAGGATCTCTTGGGTTGTATCTAGAGCCGGATTAAGGGGGGGGGGACACTGTTTTAACACTGGTACAGCTAAATTTAAGCCTGCCTCATCATGGGCTAAGAATGGAATTAAGGCAGTCAAGAGGCCCAGCAGAAAAAAGAGAGGAGAAGAAACAGGTGTGCCAGAGCTTATTCTTACTGGGCTGCTGCAAATGGGGCAAGGAACAGCCCTAGGGTTTTCCTGGAAGATAGTCAAAAAACTTGGCCTGACTTCAAATAGAGATAGGAACAGCGTATCGAAATTCACACTCGAAAGTGTTGGATTTTGATAAAGGGTGGGGGTGGGGTGGGGAGTCTCTTTCCGACAGCCACCGGCCAGGAGGAGGGAGGGCCCTTCTCCAGCTTTCCTAAAACAAAAAAAAAATGTTCCCTTCATTAGGGAGAAACCTCGGAAAGAGTTAAAAGCCTCTCCCCTCCCCTCAATTGTTTCAATTGCACGCAAGGGGTGAGGAGGAGACAGGCAGGCAGAGAGATAGACACAGAGAGGGAGGGAGACAGACAGAGTGAAGCCTCCCGTCCGTTTTTATTTCGTAATAGGGCGCTGAGGCAGATCTCAACTCCACATTCTTTGGAGATTTGGGAGGCGGCTATTTTTCCCCCCCTCGCTTTTCTCTCTAACTCCCCCTTCCCCAACTTCGTTCTTTAACCGGGAGGGGAGGCCGTGGGATGAGGCGTTTGTGGCTTCGGCTGCACAAGCGCCGTCCCCCTCCCTCAGCCCCGAACCCAAAAGCACCCCCACCCCGCCTTCAATCTCCCGGCCGCGCGAACTCAATCCAAGAGATACAAAGCAGCAGATCGGAAAGGGCCGGCGGCCACTCGCGGCGCGGTCTTCCGTCCCAGCTTTTTCCACTAACGGAAATCCGATCCAACTTTCTGGATTTAGTCCCCCCCCCGCGCTCCCCTTTCTAGATCTGCCTCGGTCGCAATGTCGACTTACTCGAATTCCTCGTCGTCAGCCATGGCTGGACCGGACTGGGAGATGCAAAATTTGCAAACGGAGACGCGGGTCGCTTTTCTAGATGAAGCAGGGCGATGCTTCAAGCCCGAAGTTGGTGCGCTCTCCGCCTAGCAACTTTAAGCTCCCGCTTGCGTTTCTGACGTGCAAATGGTCGCTTCGGGCGGGGTGCCAGTCAGTTGAAAGAAGGTAGCGGGGCGTAGTCAGGCATCTTCGATGAAAGCGATTTCCTCTTCCCTCCACCCTCTGGGATTTCAAGGCGAGTTGATCCCGGGGGCGGGGGGGAATCGGGGGAAGAGTCTGGTTGCTTCTCCACGGCCCAGAGATCTTTCGGGACGAGATGCCTCCTGCAGATAAGCCTTCCCCAACAGGGGCCCTGCAGATGCGTCCGGTTGCAACACCCATCATCCCCAGCCATGTACATATCGTGGACGGTCACGGCAGGACGGACTTTTTTTTTTTTTTAAACTAACTACAAATCAAAACATATTCACACCCGAGGGCGCTAAAATAAAGATTGCAGAACGATAACAACAAAATCATTTTTTCTTTAATGTGTTTCTACTGGAAGGAAGAGGGGTGGGCAGGAATTTCAAACATCTTTTTTTAATTGCTTTTAAAAATAACAAAAATATTTTAAAAACTTATTTTAAAAAACTTAAAAAGTGAAAAAATAGAAAAATGCAAAGTATATCAGAGTTATAATTCTGTATAATATCTACATATTATTAAAGTACATATATATTTCTAACACATTTGTATATCTATCACTCATCTTCAACCTACAGTATAAATGAGTTCCATGTTTCATATTTGTCCATATGTAGGAAGTTAGCACCCACCCCTCTCCTAGAAGAATGAAATATTCTGGGAAATATTAAAAAAGGCAGAATATTATATTTCCCTTGATGAGAAATGGAGAAACATGTTTTTAGGCAGGAAGCAAACTAACTCTTAATAGCCCCCACCCTCCTCAATAGCCCACAGCAGATGTCAGCACTTAAGAAATGAAGAGATGGCTAGGTCTATTCATAAGCAAATATCCTCACTTAAGATCCTTCCAGGCAAAGCCATTAAGCCATAATAGGAATTGCCCAAAGGCCCTTCATTACACCACCCAGCAAGATTCAACCAAGCTTGGGACTCAAAAGACAACCTACAGAGTTACCCCTGTCTGACAACCAATCAGGATACATTTCTTGCCACAGAAACAGGATGCAAATTCAAAGTTATAAATCTCTCTCCCACTCTCACCCATGTGCTCTTTTTGCCCAGGACCTCAAATCATGTGGTCCTGCTGTCCACCATTAAACTGTTGGAAGTTAAAACCCGCCCCTATCCTAGAAAAATGAAATGTTTTAGGATATATTAAGAAGGGACGCGGTGGCTCAGTGGCTAAGACACTGAGCTTGTCGATCAGAACGGTTGACAGTTCGGTGGTTCGAATCCCTAGCACTGCGTAACAGAATGAGCTCCCGTTACCTGTCCCAGCTTCTGCCAACCTAGCAGTACAAAAGCAGAAAAATAGGGACCTCTTTGGTGGGAAAGTAACAGCGTTCCATGCACCTTCAGCGTTTAGTCATGCTGGCCACGTGACCATGGAGACGTCTTTAGACAGTGCTGGCTCTTCAACTTTGTAACGGAAATGAGCACCGCCCCCGGAAACAACTAGCACGTATCTGTGAGGGGAACCTTTACCTTTACCTTACCTTAAAAAGGCAGAATATAAGAGAAATAGAAACTTAGAGAGGCAGAAACTCACCCCCCCACACACACCTTTTTATGGACCATTAAGGCTTGAGCCATTCTATTCTACATAACAAAGTTCTACCTTTATCAGGCAAAGCCATTCATTGCACCACCCATCAAGATGCAACCAAACTTTCACCCGGCTAAGCCAAAGTGAACCCTACAGAAAAAGGGAACATGGGAAGCTATAGCTTGAGGGCCATGGCAAGAACCTTCCCTAGGAGACTTGCTCGAGGCTTGGGATGAACGGCAGGTGCCGGTCCTGGCCGGTATGAACAAAAGGAGAGCGAAAGAGATGTGTAGGAAATGGGCTTCGCTGAGGGATGACACAGGAAGGCAGATTTGGCTAAATAAGGATACTTAAAAGAAAAGGGAAATATTCAAACAGGATCACATGGGGTTTTTTGTTCGTTCATTTGTTTGTCTCTTTCTCTGTCTTCTATGCCACCATGTGCTACATTTGTTAAGATTTGTGCCTTCCCTAATTGAACTGAGATTTACGGTGGGAATGACCAGTGTGTGTGTAAACCTGAGAGTTCTGTTTTCCTTTTCTGTTTTGTTTTCTTGTCTTTGCCTGTATATATGTTTAAATCTTTGTGCGCCCTCGAAGTAATTGTAACTGTAAAATGCCTCCAATCCCCCCCCCCCAAAAAAAGACAAGAATTTAAAATTGTTCACAGAAAGAAAAGAGTAAACTGGCAGAATTTGCCTTCCCTCAGTTTTGCTGGGCCCACCAAACTGAGTGAAGAGGGGGGGGGGGAAAGAGAGAGAAGGAAAAACCCTCTGTTAAAATTCTTCCTTCCCTCTATACCTTAAAGTAACAACCCAAGGTTGTGGGAGAATGTTTTAAGTCCATTTACAGAAAAAATTCAGTCTTGCACTTACTATATGTGTTTAAATGGTTTTACACGTTCATCTCTTTCCTGAAGCATGTGAATCGAGCTCCTTTTGTTTCATCTGTGATACCCCCATATTGTTACCAGTTTATCTGTCTGGTAACTGCAATATTGATGTGTTGTTTTCTCAAACCCTGACTGCAAGCTGCAAACCCCTCCCACTCCACCACCACCACCCCATCTCTTATTCTCCTACAATGCCTTGCCTCGCCCACAAAAGCGGGGAGGGGACCTTGTTTTTATGTCTTTCAGCCCTGCAACATGTGGAAACCTTCCATCCATTTGAGCCAGGAATTGGGTTTGGAATTGGATCCAGTCCTCCACTGAAAGTCATCACAGCAACCAGAGTGGAGCAGACCTTCCCAAGTCTGACTGACCATCCTTACCACCAAGCCAAGCCTAATGCCACCCAGAGACATGAAGGAGAGGATACTGAGGTGGTCCAGTGAAGACTCTTTTTCATTCTCCCAGAAGACAGCTGGAAAGATTATGGGGGGAGGGTGGAAATTCATTGTAAATGTTTCTTCCTTGTCTCCTTTATATTATAATCAGTTTAATGTACACATGTAAGGATTGTATTTGAGAGTGGCTGGCACAGCAAGTTCTGAACACCTTGGACTTCTGTTTGCTGGGAGGGAAATTTGTCCAGCATGTTTGTATTGTCTGTATTGTAAAAGTAGCTGCATACACAAGCACACACAGAGAGATACCATTCAGAATCAGATTGAATCTATCCCCTTCACTTACCTCCCCACAAAGCTTCTCCTAGATTTGGTGGTTTTTGTTTTGCTCTGTGGCACTAAAGCCCAAGCAGTCATATCTCCTTGCTAATCCCCTCAGACAATTGACTCACTTGAAGAGATAGCAGAAAAGAGACCTGCAAACCCCAAGCCCTGACTGTGACTCACAAATGATGCTGCCCACTTAAGCAGGTTATGTTGCACTGGTGGCCTCATGAGTAGGTGTCCCAGGGCTCATGGTGTGTGATTTTTTAAAATACTAAAATCTGGATTGTGCAATGGCTAACCTCAATTTGGCCTCACAAAACTAAGAGCTAGGACAGGTTTAGTAACCATCCCTTGGAAATGAGCAGCCTGTGATTTAAAGAAAAACCATGGCTATGAAGAATTTTGTGCTTGCTTGCTTGAAACATGGCTGTAAGCTCACAGAAAGTGCATCAACCATCTGTAAATGATTGGCATAGAAAATGGGATACTGTAAATTTCTTTCCAGAAATTTCCCCCTGGCTGCTAGACCTTCATGGTTGAAAGCTTTGGGGAGCCAAAACAGGAACCCTTTTCTGTTGCCTCTATCAATGCCTTCCCCTTTGCATCAGAAAAATTAAAAGCACCCATCAAGTCTCCCTGATCAGATCAATTTTTAATTTTTTGCCAGAATGTTTCCATCAGTGTCTTTCTCCCCACTTGGAACTGAACCCAGAAGGATATTTCTTCCAACAAAACCATCTTTCCAAGCAATCTCCATGTTTCCAGTGTCTTTCTTCCCACTTGGAACTGGACATTTCTTCCAAAGTCTACATCTATAGGCAATCTGTTGATAGGTGGCAAGCGTAATCAGGTCTTCATTCAGTGAATGGACCATATATTTAACTTTCCAATGCTACAGTATCAGTCTCTTGGCCATAGCAAGAACAAGGAGTATCCATTTACATTATTAGGTTGTCAAATTCCATGTAATAGGTAATGTAATTCAAGAGAATATTATCTTCTGAAATTTTAACATTTGTTGCACACTCGCATTTTTTATAATCTGCTATTTTCCCAAAATGGAGCATTGTAAAAACATGTGCTTTAAAAAAAAGCATTATCCTTATTACATCTCCAATAAAACGCTTTCTTAGACGGACCTTTTCCTATAAGTTCAAAATAGTTTTTGTTATATAAGTTGTAGCTTACGGTTCATTGACACTCTTGATATAAAACATAAAACATTTCCCCATTTTGTCCATCTTGAACAGCAAAATACATTTTCCACATTATTGGGAGATGTTGGATAAATTTCTGATTTAGTTGCAGTACATGAAATTGGACATGATATTAAGGTACCACAATTATTTTTGTTATTCCTTCTCAGTGAATAGCATACTCTCTAGATTAGAATAATATAGCCAAATAAGTTTTGAGCTCCCTTTTCTCAAGAGAGCATCACTATGATCCCAATATTCCCCACAGCTAATCTGTACAAATGATATAGTCTACATAGAATAGACTCATTTTTAACCACAAGTATACCACCAGTGTATCTAGGGAATCTTGATTGGGCTGGATTTCCTAGACAAACATAAAACCAAAACTAATACTGAAAGATGTGTATGCATCCACAGTTCTTATTAACCCTGTGTTGT